CACGTGATATTGGTCAGCAGATACCTTGTTTTGACAGGTGTCAATTGATCATAACATAAATGTCCAATACCAAAGAAGTGCACGGTAAACCAAGGCTACATGTCTGTCAACCTATTATTTGGAGTATGGCCGCCATGTTGCGCGACTCCGTCGTCGCCGTCATGCGTACGCGCCCACGAGCAATACCGCTAGCCATAATAACCATGAGAAAATCAACTCGTCGGTTTTCTTTTCTTTCTTCTATGAGTATCGGGCTCCGCTTGGCGTTCATGCCGCCGGAGCTCCGCTATTACCAGTCGTTTGTTTATTACATTTTTTTCCTTCTAGTTTTTCTTGTGGTTTGCTTGTAATTACGTTTACGAATTTAGCCATTTTAATTATCTTATACTTTGACGATGCTGTAACGTTTTATGACCTTGCAAATCAAGTTTGTTCTTGTTCCCAATGACTCAGCATTTATTGTGAACTTAGCCAGCTAACAACGACTTTTCCGAGCATTCGCCACTTTCGAGCATTCACTGCACACAAATTATTGTTTCTCATCTTTTCCTGGAAGACCTTGGAAGAGTGAACGTGGGTAGCCTCCTAACACTGGAAGACTTAAAGATGCTTTCCAGTCCGTACTACGCATTCTCGAGGGTTTGTTTACGTTTTTTGTTTTGTTTCATGTAAGACATCACACAGTATGAACATTTCGCACCTACTTACATGAAATAAATTCAAAGTTTCATGTCATCCGCCGTTACGGAAGCGAAGCTTTATGTTTCGTTCTTTCTCATTTCACTTGACGAAACAACTTTGGAGCTGTAAAAATCAATGAAGCTGTTGGAAAAAGAATTTGAAAGGCCTCAAAGATAAGGTATGTGTTTCGTAACGAATAACATCGATTTGCATTTCGTCGAGTGAGACGTTTTACGTTTATAAACTATGCAGTACGGACTGGAAATCATCTTTAACGGACATTTTGCAATTTATGAAAAACATGACACTGGTCACAGTTATACGTTTTTCTGAAAAATGTTGTCTGTGGGCACCAAGAAAAAGTCAGACCATAATTTGCATTTATATTACATAAATCAAAAGGGTTTTATTAGTGTAAAAAGGAACAAGCGATGATGTGTTGACTTTGGACGTCGTCTATATTTGAGTTTGCTCATCTTGGAAAAAGAAGAAAACAAAATAAACAATATATTAAATCACGTTTTATTGTGTTAATACGTCTTTTAATTCAGACAATGCTTCGCTAGTCCAAATCTAAACGTGTTCTTATTAGGCAATTAATACATTTTCAACCAATGATATTTTTCTTGCGTGCCTGTAACATGGCGGCAAATGAATTGTCTTCCCCTGAAGCTGGAGCAGATGAACTAGGTGCTGGAGGAGGAGGAGGTGGAGGTGGCGGTGGCAGCATGTCAGATGAAGGAGAGGTTGGCGCTGGATCAGATGGAGAAGGCGGTGGAGGTGAAGCAGAAAAGTGAGGAGCTGGCGGCTCGGGAGGATTAAGAGGAGAAGGTGGAATAGTGCTGCTCTCAGAATTTAGAACATTAGATTCTGTTTGAGCGATGAGGTTTCCTTTACTTTTATCGCTTCTCTTGAACTTATGGCTAATTCGCCGCCTAAATGATTTTCCTATGTCGGTAGAATGCCGGTCCTTTTCCATATGATGAGAGCTTGTGGTGTACGGGTCATCGTTCACTGTGCCAGGTGTGCTGTAAGTATCAGAAATATTTACCTCAACTGTCTGATCACCTTGAGAACTAAGTAGACTATAAGCACTCTGAAAGTCATGTTCATTGGCTGTACTGACGTCACCACTAAATTCTCTTATAGCATCGCTAGTGCTGCGTTCTCTCAGTGGCTCATGTTCCTCGTTTGATTCTCTGGAGATAATGCAAAATATTCCGAATTCTATGGTGTTCACTCTTGCCTTCCCTTCGCTCAATTCAACAGTAGTTTGATTTCCGTCACAAGGGTTCTGATTGCCGCAGGCATAGACGTCACTCCAGCTAGCTTTCACTCCTGATTGAGTTGGAGTCCATCGAAGAAACTGTTCATATCCAACCTTCGGTGCTTCTTTGGTTGGCAAACTTAGTACTGCATGCTTCGAAAGGGGTTTTCCATGAGGGCTTATTTCGACTAAGTGGCTGATAATCGTCTCCGTGTCACCAAGTGGAACAACTTCTGTTTTGGCCTTACACAGCTGAATACAGACCTCTTTGGTTTGTGACGTCAGGGATCCCTCTGGAAGGTCCACAAACACTCCTTTGCATTGCACACCTCCTCCAGAGGGGCCGAATATTGCCTTGGCGACTGCCGTAAATGAGCTTGGATCTGGTACGTCAACACTGTATGTAGTGCTGAGTCTCCGCGCGACTTTGTCGGCAAACAGACTAATGCTCGCACGTCTTTCACCACTCAATCCGGGAATACTAACATCTTCAGATGAATTTCCCACTAAGTTTAGGGGAAAAAATTGAGAAAGAGGTTTTCAAGTTTTAAA